CAATCATATGAAATTAGTATTAATAAAAAAGTAATTTGTACTACAAAGGGTGCACAGAAGAACACAAAAGTGGCTTGTAGGTACATTTTCAGATGTTTAATGATTCTCAGAGGTGGCATGAGTGCAATTAAATTAATAAATTCATGTTGAGATTAATGTTTTAAATATAAAATTTTTAATACAGAAATATTAAATGATTTAAATAACTGAAATTATACCTAAAAATGAAACTGAAACCACCAGCAGGTGGCGGCAAGTCACTGATTTTATCACTGACTCATTCATTCAATTGATTCATTTCAACGGCTGAATCATTCAGGAATGAAGCAAGTGACTGTCTTTATGATCGCGATCTGTGGGCGCACAGAAAATGAGTTTTCTTTTATTCATGCAGAGACCCTTATGAATTATCAGACTGTATCACTTCTTATACTCAATTCTGTGAAGATACTGTTATTGATACTAAAGTGGTTAAAATCTTTTCAAATAACAAACCATGGTTTACTAAAGATCTGAAGAAATACTTTAATGAGAAAAATGCAGCCTTTCGTGAAAATGACTTTGAGGGTTTTAAGATGAAAAGAAAGGAATTAAGAGCTATGATACAAAAAGCAAAAATTGATTTTAAAAGTAAGGTAGAGGATCAGGTAGCAAATCATAATGCAAGGAGTGCTTGGCAAGGGTTAAATAAGATGATGGGGCGTGACTTAAAAGGTGTAAATAATGATATTATAGACAGATATTTTAAAATGGGTTAATGATTTAAACTTGTTTTATGGAAGATATGGTGAGGTTGGTAACAAAGATAAGGTTGAAGAAACTGGTGCCAGGATTCCTGTGGGTTCACCTGTTTGCTTGATTGGTGAACACTAATTAGAATGTGTCGCAAATCAGGTCCTGTAAAGCGCCAGGTCCAGATGACCTTAGGGGCCATGTTTTAAAGGTTTGTGTCGAATGAATTAACTGACCCTTTAACAAAATTATTTCAGTTTTTATTAAATTCTCAGATTGTGCCTAATATGTGGAAATTGTCATTTATACGGCCCATTCCTAAAAAAGTGGGGGTGAAAAAATGAGAAGACTTCCGCCCTGTAGCCTTGACTCACTTGCTAAATGCATGGAAAGGGTCATTAGTTATCATCTTAAATCGTACATATCAGAGCACCTAGATGTATTGCAATTTGCGTATAAGCCACAAAGAGGGACCGAGGATGCTACGCTCACTATGGTCGATACAACTGTTAGTCATTTACAACAAGCAAAGGCCTATGCACGTGTTCTTTTCATTGATTATGCATCTGCATTTAATACGATGCAGATACATCTACTTTTAGAACGTCTTTTAGTTTTAGGAGTGAGCGGAGTAATAATTCATTGGATTAAAAATTTCTTAACAGATAGACCACAACAAGTCTGTGTTAGGGGGGTTAAATCAGACATTATGTTTCTAAATACAGGAGCACCTCAAGGATACATTTTGTCTTCCCTATTATTTGTCTATACAAATGAGATGCAAATGCAAATGCAGAGTACAAATTATAAATTATATAAATATGCTGATGATATGGCACTGGTTGCACTCTTATGGAAAGATTGTGTTGATTATGAGTATAAAGAGCATGTTCTGAAATTAGAGAAATGGTGTAAAGCAAGTTATATGTGCTACGGAATTTGAGAGAATTTTCTGTTAGCCAAGGTGTTCTACAAAGAGTTTATACTAGTCTAATAGAAAGTGTTTTAGGGTATAATAATGGTTTGGTTTGGGCGAATTACTTCTGTAAATAAAGTGAAATTAAACAGGATCATAAGGATGTCAAGTAAAATAATAGAGTCTAAGCAAAAATCAATTGATCAGCTGTATGATATGGCAGTTAGGAGGAAAGCTTTGGCTATAAGTGGAGAAATAACACAGCCTCTGAACTATGCCTTCGAATTGCTACCATCTGGGCGCCGTTATAGGACACTGAAGGCAACTAAAGCAATATATAAACAAAGGTTTGTGCCATATGCAATAAGTCTCTTGAACAAAGGGTAGGACTGCATTGTCTTTAGGAGGGATGAATGTATTAAGTATTTATTTGATGTGATATTTTAATTGTATTGATATGTGTATTGTATTGTTATTGTTGAATGTTAAGCAAGACCAAAGACTAATTTTCAGCCAAGGCTGAACAATAAAGTATAACAAACAATGTTTGTGGCAACTGTTTATTTAAGCTCCTGCTGTATATGTGTAACTTCTACAAACAATTGTCCACTGGAAAACTTATTAGACTAACATTGGCTGCTGTACATAAATTATGTTAATTTGAATAAGAAATTTACTTTTAATGGCTGCAGTCCTTGGTAAATAACTGTTAAGGCGAGACACTGCAGGTGAATAGGGTAAAAAACAACAACTAATAGTTATGGCCTTACTTACCCAGCTGATTGATTACATTGATAATTGCAAACATTATTTGTATATAAATTGTATATAATGAAGCAAATTATATATGAACAAATCCCTCTGTAAAACCCTTCAGGATATAGACAGGAATAAAAATGTAAAGTTTGGTGTGTGTAAGTGCTACTGAAGTGGAGATTTATGGCTCAGTGTAGGAGAAAAAAATCATTTTGAGAAAATGGCCTTTAAATATATGTATTGTAATTGAAATCTATTGACACAAATAGATAAAGTGCTATAAAAGAAACACTTAACAGTGTCTTTTGGGTGTTTTCTTTCCACTAGTCTGAAAAAACACTTTATGAAAAACCAAAAAGCCCAAAATCTCAAACTTGATAGGTGCATGAAAAAACAGTGTTTTTGCCTGCAGTGTCTCCCCTTAAATGTAACACATTTGTTTTGTTAAAGTTTGAGTTGAGTTTATTTAATAATTTTACTTGTAACTATGAATATCCATGACAACATACAGAACAAGATGAACTCTGCAACAATTTAATAGTAATTTAAATACTGAAGACATCTAAGATAATTTTCAAGACCATTGATGACTGAGACGCATGATAGTGCCAGTTGCCTTTGTTTCGAACTAGAGAGTCTGCTCTGGTTTTTCAGTTACTGTGATGAGCGGACCAATCGGACTATACAGCATTGCTATGGATGATGGTAAATATTAGGAAATATAAGACTGGTGCTGAATGCAACGTTTGACCAACCAGTCAAATAATTCAGAGAAGTGTAATAAGAGAGTGTACAGTGTGCTTCAGTGAATTAAGTGATATAAGCTAATCAAATGAGTGGATGCATACTGCATTTACATTCTAAGATTAATCATTGTACATATAGACATAATTAGTTGATATGGTTTTACATATACACAATATTACAGTCTTGACTGACACTCACTGTAGCACAGGCTCCTCCCAGCAGTCAGACCAAGTGATTTGAATGTATTGCTGCTTTAACAGATGCAGAAAGAGGAAGAGGATCACAACATCTCTGCACATTTTTCAAGAGTTGGTGATTTCAATTGTATATAATGGCACTGTGGAAAAGTGCCATTGTGATCGTAGTTTTGTATATCTGGGGTGAGTAGCACTATCAAATAATGATTCTTTTCAAATATATTTAAAATGAATTTTCATTACGTGTGTACGTGCATATTTTTTTGCTTTCTTTTTTAATCATAATGTTTTCATTCAATTTCAGGATGTAAATCCCAAGACAAAGTTGATCAGCATACAAGGATTCAATCTGGTTTTGAAGGTGCTACTGTAACGATCGACTGTACATATCAGACTGCTTTCACAAACCCGACTCTCTTCTGGTACCAGCAGAAAGTCAGTGGAATCCCCAAGTACATGCTAAATAAATATTCTAAATCTGGAAACAGTGAGGAAGAATTCAAGGAGAGATTTCATGCGAATCTCAGCAAAACTTCAGTTCCACTGACAATCCAGGATGTGCGTGTGTCTGACTCTGCTGTGTACTACTGTGCTCTGCAGCCCACAGTGACTAAAACATACTCAACACTCATACAAGAACTCCAACAATGCAACAGGATACATTACATCATGCAATTAAATTTTTTTTGCTTAGTCTATGATTTCATTTATAAAACCCCTTTAATCCATAAATATATTCTATTTTAGTAGGTTTCTTTTACTTAAAAGTGTACATTCAGTTTACATTATCTAATTTTACAGTTTAGTTGCATTTAATTTTGTATTAATTTCCCCCTACTGTTGGTTTCAGGTGATTTGCTATTGTTCATGCAGCTGAAATAATATTCTTTTTTTTTTTTTTTTTACTAAGGTTTGCGGTTGTCAATTTACTGGTATTTGAACCATTATTTAAGTCCCCCCAAAAGCACGCCTTAACCCATTTTGCGCTCGACATTGGCTGCGATAGCTGCTAATTTGTGCTGCTGTCAGTAGATCACTCGCTGAACTTTCCACACCCATCTGTGCTTTTATGGGATTGCCCTGTTTTTTTAATATCTGGCCCAAAATATTCTTCACATTTGCATTATATTTTTATGCTTATGAATGATGAGTCACTTCATAGACAAATGTGGCTTATACATAAACTAATAGACGAACCAAAAATTAAATAGTGCAGATCTTTTATTACATTAAAAGATACGAGAAGCATACTCGCTGCAACTAAGTCTCACCTGAAACACGTTTACATGTACATACAATACAGTCTGTCTATTATGTCTTGAACACTCTCCATTTGCACTGTTTGCCCTAAATGTGTCTTTTTGTACTGTCCTTTTTATACCATTGCACAGTGTTGTTCTGTATATATTGTATGCATTTAAAGTATATGTTAAGTGTATGTAGTTAGATTACTTCTTTCAATAGTTTAGCTATGTATAGGTTTATACATGTTTATATATCTAGCACTGTGGTCCTGTGAGGCACAACATTTCGTTCCTTTGTAGTAACATATAGCTAGCAGAATGACAATAAATTTGACTTGTACTTGAGATGCCACTTATGCAATATACTTGTAGTTAACCAGAAGAGGGCAGTAGGTGCTCAATATTACATTTGATAATACAGCAGCTTTTATAGGTCTCCACAAGCTCCTCCTTGGATCATTATTATAATACCAAAAGCAAAACTCTCATATTCACTGATTTTTCTAGACTTCAAGGTGTATTCAGCATAGACACAGTCATGTCACACAAGTTGAGGAATATATTATTTCTCTTTGCACTATTCGTTTTTGGTATGAAGTTTCATTTAATACAACTGTATTGATGTAAGTTGATTATATGTTGTATTGTATTGTACATTAAATATCCTTAAACATTTACAGAGTGCAGATCAGAGGACACAGTTGATCAGACAGAACAACATGTGACTAAAGTGTAAATATAAAACAGTCTCAGTACAAGAAGAACTATTCTGGTACATCCAGAGAGCAAATGACTTTCCTAAATACATCCTGCGGAGAAACAAATATGGAGGAGAAAATGATGTTCAGTTCCAGGAGAGATTTCACTCTGAAGTGTCATCAAATTCAGTTCCACTGACAATCAAGAATCTGCGTGTGTCTGACTCTGCTGTGTACTACTGTGCTCTGAAGCCCACAGTGAGAAAACTCAAGTCAAACCACATACAAAAACACATGAGCTGAACTGCAGTCAAGACAGTTTAACGTGTTTAAACCACATTTTACTATTTTAACCACAAATCACTGGTCACGAAATTAGCAAGAACTGCACAAATAGTGTAGATGAAGTAACTTAAAGGGGTCATATGATGCTGCTAAAAAGAACATTATTTTGTGTATTTGGTGTAATGAAATGTGTTTATGCGGTTTAAAGTTAAAAAACCACATTATTTTCCACATACTGTACATTATTGTTTCTCCTCTATGCCCCGCCTTTTTGAAACGCGTCGATTTTTACAAAACGGGGCGTGTTCGAACGAGCCGTTTTAGGTAGGTGTGGCTAACTCTTAACTTTTATAAAGAATATCTCTTTGGATTTGAGACTTTAGTCTTTGCAAATTTACAGATCTTCTTTATGCACCAAGAGCTTGTAACACTCCAAAGAGAAAGGAAAAAATGAAATCGCATCATATGACCCCTTTAATACAGGATAGCCTTTCCCTTATGTTTTCTTCAAATGTTTAAGCTGTGTGGGTAAACTTGCAGACAGTTTTTCCACTCAATACTGATGGCTTCAAACATGAGTAGTTGAAAAAAGTCTCCCAGTTAATTGGAGTTTAATGTGAGACCAGATACTCTTGGGCTTTTCACACTTGAAATAGTGAACCCTGGGTCATTCTAAACCCCAGGTAAATGGAATCCTGGGTTATCTTGCTTTATGTTTCACACTGCTTATACTTTACCCAGGGTTAAAAGTTAATTCTGGGTATTTATAAGCTGCCGTTTCACAGTACACATTCCTGAGTCCTTATTTGCATATTTGCGGTGTCAGTGTCAATGATTGGACGAACCTGCTTAGTGCTTACATGGCTTTTCTCGCATCAGTTATCCTGTCAGTTAAATAATGTCGCCACAGAGGTCCTCCTTGCCTGTTTTAAGCCTCCTGAGATGGACATTGACACTTTTTCTGTCATTTGACATTTCTTATTTTTCCGTCAAATGCTGTACTGTTTATACAACCTGCAGTTCCTGTTACAGATGTGACATGAGCCACACTGTTCGATTTCTGATTGGTTGTCTGTTGCTAAGCATCCAGCAGTAACATTCTAACACCGCTCCGTTTTACAAAAGCAGTGCTAACCATGCTCCAGAACATGGTTTCATAACCTCGGGTAAAAAATGGTGCTAACCACACTTTTATAAATTACATATGTGAAACGTTCCTTTACCTGGGGTTAAAAGCGGTGTATGGAATGACGATAACTCAGGGTTAAGCGCAGTGTGAAAACCTTTCAATAGGTTCTAATCTGTACTCTGATCAGGCCAAAACATGAGCCTGATGGACTATTTTCAAGTCACATCATAGTTGTCTACATAGTGTGGGCAAGAGCATTTTCTTGTTGAAAAACATCTGATCATTCCTCTTTAGACAACAACTTTTCAGCTGTAGAAAGCAAGCCATTCTGCAATATTCTCTTATACTCCAAAACATTGAACAGTGAAACAGCTCACCAGTACCAGCAGCTGAAAAGGCTCCCCACATCTTGCTTCACTGTGGTAGAGATTCATTCATTATTCGTTATTGTATTTCTTTCCAAATCTTCAAAAACACTGCTCTGGCGCATCACCATTGTACAGCTTGTATTCTTATCATGATTTATAACTCCACACAACTCTGCTGAACCACTCTGAATCAAACTTTCTATATTCTGCCAAAACCTTCATTCTATCTTTGTCATTCTAAGCAATGACTTAAGGAGCTTTGCTTAATTCTTTCAAATTTCCTCACCAGTAATTTGTAGTTAAGACCATTAAAAGCTTAGTATTTAGTTATTTTGAGCTCTGAATTGTTTTTTTTAAACCAAGAATGTTTGTTGGTGAAATAATGAAAACAGTGACTAAAATCATGGGTAGCCATTAAAATCGAAAGGTAGACAAACTATTTAATTAGTCTATTGGAAAAACAACAGAAAAAGTAATGCTCTAAAGTGAGCGAATCTTTACCAATTTAAATATGAAGGTCATTGAATTCCTACAATACTGTCTTATAAATAAATAAAAAAAATCTGTCAAATGTAGCAAACGTAAAAATATCTTAAATGCTTATCATCTGTGTAATAAATGGTGCACACATTCACATGGAGCTCCTGCTAGTTCAAATTGTTGTTATATAAAAATCTAGATTGTTTAATTAGAAAGTAAATATTGTGCACATTTCCTTCAGTTATGTTTCTATGTTCATGAGAAATAAGATGAAATGAGTGACGAAGTGAAGTGAAATGACGTGACATGTGGCCAAGTATTGTAAGTATGCATACTTGGAATTTGTTCTCTTCATTTAACCCATCCAAGTGCACACACACAGCATTGAGTAGTGAACACACACTGAACACACACCCGAGGGGCAGTGGGCAGCCATTGCTGCAGCGCCCGTGGAGTAATTGGGGGTGCGGTGCCTTGCTCAAGGGCAACTCAGTCATGGATATTGAATGCGGAAGAGAGCGCTGTTCATTCACTTTCCCCACCCACTAAAACAAGAGTGCAAAACACAATGTCATAGAGTAATTAAAGCAGGAAGTTCCTGTGTGTGTGTTAATGACTGATCTGCAGTGACTTATAGCTCGGATCACTGAGAGCCTCAACAGAGAACTGAGCTGATCTGATTGAACATGGACAGATGCTTCATACTGATTCTCATTGTGGGAACAGGTACATTATTTGTGGAGTAAAAACAACTGAAACAGTGTATTTAAATAATCATGTTTTATTATTATTATTTTTTTTTTTTAAATAATCATGTTTTATGTTTTTTTATTTTATTTTATTATTATTATTTAATTTTTTTTAAGTGCTGTGAAACATGTTAGCGTTATTATTTCGTAAACTTTGCTTTCACAAATAAAAGATCAGCTAATTTGTGCTTTTTGTTGACAGGTTTGGTGACTGGAGACGACATTGAGCCAGATAAAGGGACAGAAAAAACTTCTAAAGAAACAGAAACTGTCAAGCTGAGCTGCTCATATAGTGCAAACAGTGAATATGTTTACCTGTACTGGTACAGACAGTATGCCAACATAGAACCTGAGTATTTATTACGTAAAGGTGCACAATCATATAGTAATGCAGACAGCTCTGATCTTCGATTTCAGTCGATTGCATCACGTACATCCACTGAACTCACTATTACTGATGTACGTCTGTCAGATTCAGCTCTCTATTATTGTGCTCTAAGAGTAGCAGCCCAGTGATACAAAACATGAAGAATGTCGTACAAAAACCTGAAGCTCTTTTCACTTTGAACCAATCTAGTGAAAACCACAATCAAAACCCCAATCTATCCAGACCTGAATGTAATAAAATATGTGGTCACACCTGTGTGAGGTGAAATTAGGCCTGCAATAAAACTTAAAAGAAATATTAACAATATCTTCTGGATATCACTTTCCAGCTTCAGAGTATGAATATTTCATCTTAATTTCTACATTAATAACTACATTTTAATCAATATACATTTTATTTCAAGAAAGCCATATGCAGGTCAGTATTAGAACTTCATTTACCTACATAGTCAATGATACTATTCTTGAACACTGAGCTTCTTCACACTTACAAACTTTATCCATCTAAATCCAGCTAAAATATAACCCAAACTTCTCTTCAGCAAATGCAAAGCCATATGCGTTTGCAACATTAACAATATGTGGCCATGCCTTATAATTAAATTGTGTTGTTATATCCGTAATTTCTGTGATCAAAGACAAACATTGCCTGCTGTACATAAACTATGTTAATCTGCAGAGGAATTTACTTGCTGTTCTTGGTAAATAACTTAACTTTTAAATGTAACAAAACTGTATCTTACATAAAAACATTTCTATATACATGATTCTGTTAAGATTCCCAGTTTACATGCTCCATAACTCAACTGGATAAAACAACATTGGAAATAAATAAATATATAAATAAGGAAAGGTTTCATGCAGATCTCAACAAATCCTCAAACTCAGTTTCTCTGTCAATCCAGGATCTGTTTATCCGACTGCTGTGTACTGCTGTGCTCTGCAGGCCACAGTGACTGAAACACATAAAACATCCATCCTGACAAGAACTAAGAGCTCTGAAATGTGCAGTTTTGAACATAAGAATTTTCCCCCATATTTTTTATTTTTATTTTTTTAGAAAATAAACACTCCAGCAGTCGGTGGACTTTATTCACCTTGTTGAGAGTGAGACAGAGTGAAACAGTTGTTCAAACACTATTTTTGCCATCACTGTCTCTCTGAAGGCATCATGTTTCTCTTTACCTGAATAATAATTCTATATATTCTATATAATAATAATAATAATAAGGAATTTCTTTTGCTGATACAATACAACCACTGCCTTCAGAAAAATGTGACTCTGTCTTGTAATTACAGTACCAATACTGGCACTGTTAACTCTCTCCTGTGGTATCGCCAGTATCTTGGAGCAAAATCAGAGTTCCTACTTCTTGTCAACAAATATTCAAGTAAATCTGAGCCTGATCTTCGTCTATACTCAAAAGCTACAAAAGAAATCAAACGTGTGGATCTGAAGCTATCCTAAAGTAAGCTAAAGTATCAGACTCTGCTCTGATACTTTATTCAAAAGCTACAAAAGAAATCAAACGTGTGGATCTGATCATCTTCTCTGCTGCTGTATCAGACTCTGCTCTGTATTATTGTGCCCTGCAGCCCAGTCACAGGAAACACAAGAAAAGAACACTGTAAAAAAACCTGATACACAGTATTGCATCTGTATTACACAAATGTGACAACATGCTTTAGTAAACTGGTGGACACAACAAATGTTCAGGAGGACCTTATTTACCCAGTCCAGTCAATCTATGTAAGGGATAATGTACAGTCAGTCATGTAGAAATGAATATGTGGATATACAACTGATTTTACAGTTAAAGTTTGAGTTTAAAAGATTAGTTCACTTCCAGAATAAAAATGTCCTTATAATTTACTCACCCCCATGTCATGCAAGATGTTCATGTCTTTCTTTCTTCAGTCTCAAAGAATTTAAGGTTTTTGTGGAAAACATTCCAGGATTTTTCTCCATATAATGGACTTCAATGGTGGCCAACGGGCTGAAGGTCCAAATTGCAGTTTCAGTGCAGCTTCAAATGGCTCTACATGATCACAGCCGATGAATCTAGTGAAACAATTGGTCATTTTCTAAAAATAAATAAATAAATAAATAAATAAAAACTTGTATACTTTTTAACCACAAATGCACGTCTTGCACATGAATTTGTTGCAGTCGCACTAATTGCATCATCAGGTTCTGTGCTCTTAAAAGGATAGTTCGCCCCAAAATGAAGATTCTGTCATAATTAACTCTCACCCTCAAGTTGTTCCTAAACCTGTATGAGTATCTTTCTTCTGTTGAGTACAAAAGAAGACATTTTGAAGAATGTTGGCAACCAAACTGTTGACGGTATAACATTTTCTTGTTAGTTTGTAAGTGTGAAGAACCTTAATGGTCAAGAATAGTGATGTTGACTATGTAAATATTACTGACAATTTTTTTTACTAATGACTATTTTTTAATGAAAAGTATATGCAAGTCAACATTAGAACTTTGTTTACATAGTCTACGGCACTATTTTGGGCTATTCTTGACCTTCACACTGACAAACTAACAAGAAAATGTCCAGCTTTATCCAGACATCTCCTCAGCAAATCCAAAGCCACATGCATTGCTACATTAATGATATGTGGCCATCCTCTTGATATATCAGTAATCTCTGTGAAGCAAAAGAACGACATTCTAGTTTTTTTTTAATAAAATGAATCTCTCTCTCTCTCTCTCTCTCAATGTAATGAAACTATGTAATTTCAGATGTTGTCCACAGTGTGGCATAATCTATGATGTTGGTAGTAACTATTTATTTAAGCTCCTAATGTATGTGTTTAACCTCTGCAAACAGCTGTGCATTGGAAACCTTACCTGCTTTACGTAAAACAACATTAATCTGTGGAGGAATTTACTTTTAATGACTGCAGTTCTTGGTAAAACTTAATTGTTAAATGTAACTTAATTAGAACATATCTATACACAAGATTCTGTTAAGATTCCCAGTTTACATGCTCCATAAACTCTCAATTGGATCAAACAACAGTGAAAAAAAATGTCTCAACAAAACCTTAAGCTCAGTTTTTCTCTCAGTCCAGGGTGTGCGTGTTGTTTACTGTGCTTTTCAGCCCACTGTAACTGATACACATAAACACATAACATCCTGTGCAGTTTCCGACATAAGCATATTTTTTTCTCTATTTTAAAAAAATAAACACACTACAGCAGTGGGTGGAGCTTATTCACACAGAGTGTGAGAGTGAAAACAGTTATTCAGATACTATTGTAGTCATCACTGACTCTCTGAAGACATCATGTTTGTCTTTACCTGTATAATTATCCAACTTTGCATGGGTAAGAGATATGCATTCAATCAATGTTTATTATAATACAAAAAAATAAATAAACAGCTGAAAAAAATTAATAAAATAAAAATCCATTTGAGTCTTTTCATTATTCTATTGCTTAAATAATCAAGATTCTTTTCTTTTCCACAGGAACTTCTTTTGCTGATACAATTCAACCACTGTCTTCAGAAAAATATGTTGTTGAGGGTAAAAATGTGACTCTGTCTTGTAATTACAGTACCACTGGCAATGTTGACTCTCTCCAGTGGTATCGACAGTATCTCGGCGCAAAACCAGAGTTCCTACTTCTTGTCAATGAATATTCAAGTAAATCTGAGCCTGATCTTCGTCTGTATTCAAAAGCTACAAAAGAAATCAACCGTGTGGATCTGGAGATCTTCTCTGCTGTTGTATCAGACTCTGCTCTGTATTATTGTGCCCTGCAGCCCACAGTCACAGGAAACACAAGAACACTGTACAAAAACCTTTCCTCATTTAATCCAATGAGAACAATCAATAGATACAGAGTTAAAGACTAAAAGAGAATCCATAAACTGCAGCAGTTAGTAAGTTGAATGATACTGCAAGTGAATGAAAAGAAATAAACTGATAAAAGTTGATGAATCCAAATTTACATATGTATAGCTGAAATGAATCAATGTGACATTAAAAACTGAACAAAGCATCCTAATATTGCTAATTAAAATCATACAAAAGTAGCCAGCAGTTAAAGTTTCAATCTATTACCATGTGTAACAGATTGTGCAGGTATAATGTGCCACAAGGTGGCAGTGTTCTCAGATATTCACTTGGAACCGCAATTACAGAATTTGTAAAAATGTATACTACATTTTTTAATATCGTGTGAAAAGTGACCAAAATGCATGGAGATTTTTGGTATCGTTTTTTCATATATCATTCTGTTAAACACTATTATTTAAGGTTCAAAGCTTTGATTTCACACTTACAGAGAGCAGGAAGTTCCTAAATGTCATGAACAGCAGAAAGCTTCAGTAACACACAGTCAGAGCACAGAGCACTGAGAGAATTAACACACAACTGATCTGATCATATTCACCATGAACAAATACATGCTGCTGCTTTTCATTATGGCATCAGGTGCATCATTTATGATTTTAAAACCCTATAAAACATTGGATGTATTTTTTACTGATTTTTCTATCAACACAATTTTAAATTTGTAAAGATGTCTTTACTAATATACAACATTTAACCTAAGACAAAGTTAGTTACCGGTAATATTGTTCTTAATGTTTGCAGATGTGACAGCTGTGAACAAAACTGAGCCAAATAAAGGGACGAGCATCATCAAAACAGAAGGAGAGTCTGTAACGCTGAGCTGCTCATATGATTCAGACAGTGAAAATGTACGTCTGTACTAGTACAGACAATATCCTAATGGAGAACCTCAATATTTATTACGCGAAGGAGCACGAACAAACAGTGTTAAGCACAGCTCTGATCCTCGATTCCAGTCAAGCACTTCTTGCATGTGGACTGAACTCATTATTAGCAGTGTGACTGTGTCAGATTCAGCTCTCTATTACTGCGCTTTAAGAGTTGAAGCCCAATGATACAAAATATGAAACAAGTCGTATAAAAACTATAAAGCATTTTTTTAAGCTCTTACTATGAAAACCAAATCAAAACCTCATTGTTAGATAATAACTGCAAACACCTGTGTAAGGTTGATAGGAAAAATGTTTTATGAAAGGAAAAAAAATGGCAAAAAAAAAGCTTTTCAGAAAGATAAAATGCTTAAAAAGTTTTAGGGTTGCAACTGTGTGTTAAAAATGTACTACAGGTGTGCAACACTTCATTTATGTTACATTTGCAAAAAACCTAAAGCTTCCAGAATATGTGTTTCAAGTAGTTTTGTTTTTTAAATCTTACTGTGACAGACTGACTGACACCAAAGTATGACTAAAGTTAATTTTAACTTGTGTACAAAATCTACTATGCACCCACTTACAATATTATTACTTAGAATTAATCTTAACAATAATGGAAAGAAAAGTTGATTCACATAATGGTAGCAGTAATGAGCCAGGCCCGGAAAAAATAAACTATTCCTTCAAAATAAAGCTTCTCTTTTGTCTTGAAGTTTAATAAGAGGAGGGACTTACATCAGACATGATCTAATTATGTCTGACAGAGACTGTGGTTGAAATGATTCAGTCTGACGCTTCTCAGAGTGAACACTTGTACAATGAATCTTCATTCAGTTATTCTGTTCTGTGCCTCAACCGGTATGTGTATTCATTTGGCTGATTATTTGTTTGATCATCAAAAGAAGAAAATAATAAACAAATGTACCTCTTCTTTTTCAGCTGCTGTCTTTGGAAATGTCATCAAACCAAACAAAACCAATGTTTTTGCTGAGGAGGGTTCAAGTATTACATTATCCTGTAATTTTTCTGACTCTGTAGGTACAGATTATCTCCACTGGTACCGTCAGTATGGAAGATCAAAACCTGTATTTCTTGTACTCACCTACGACACTGCAAAAGAAGCTCAGCGGTCTGTTGTAGATCCAAGATTCACTGTTAACACTACAAAAAGGGAACAAAACCATGTGGATCTGAAGATCTCCTCTGCTGCTGTATCAGACTCTGCTCTGTACTACTGTGCTCTGGTGCCCACAGTCACAGGAAACACATCAGCTCTCTACAAAAAACAGAGACAGAGTTACAATGAGAGACAAGAGAGAGAGAAATTTAAGTAATCTAATGCAGAAAGGATCAAAACATAAAACAAAGCAACATTCTAAAGTGAGTCAACAGGGCAGTCGTGGACTAATGGTTAGAAAGTTAAACGTATAACCTGAAGGTTATGGATTCGTGTCTTGGTGTCGGCTTGTACATGACTGAGGTGACCTTGATCAAGGCACCTAACCCCCAATTACTCCACGGGCGCTGCAGCAAAATGGCTGTCCATTGCTCCGGGTGTGTGTTCACGGTGTGTGTTCACTAGGGTTGTAACGGTATGAGATTTTTACGGTATGATAATCATCTCAGGAAATATCATGGTTTCATGGTTATCACGGTATATATTAAACAATAATTCTTATCAGTAACAATGACTCTTAAAAGAACAAGAACAAGTTATTTGAATGAACAAATCCTTTATTACAACAAACTTGAAACCATTTGAATGAAAGTATTGAAGTCTCCCTTATGAAAAAATAAATTAATTAATTAATTAATTTAAAAAATAAAAAAATAAAAAAATAAAGCTGTACACCTTATGTATATCTATATCACACTTTAACATTTTAATTAATGTTTTAAAATGAAATTTAAATGAAAATGTACAACTCCTTTTATTTTTGGCAAAGTTAAAACATGGACAAACATGATATTCCTTGAAAACAATGTTTAAATAAATTATTTTATTATAAAGAATATTATTATTGTTGTTATTATAACTTTGAAGAACATCTGTCATAATTGCAAATTAAATTGAATGTTTATTTTGACGGGTTGTAGCGGACCTTTGAGTTTCAGAGTGTATTTGACAATGGTTTTTCTCAAATAAAACTAAGAAATGTTTATTTATGTTTTCTCTCAGAGCAGCTCTGCTGATGTTCATGTTTATGTATTTTAAGCCCTATTCGCACGGGATTAGTATTACCTGACGCTGAAAACACCATGTATGTATGTGTACTTCAGTATGCAGTAGATAAAACGGCACCACTCAGAGACATGCAGAAACAAGCAGATTATTCATATAGCAGTCTCTTTGCGCTTTAATATTCACAGACACATATCATACTTTCGATTTATCCATCTACCCGATTACGCGTTTTACTTGACATCCTCATTATACTGTAAATTCCATGTTCACGACTGCACCGGGATTCCCTCTGTTTCACGGAAATCATGGCCTTAATTTATAACTTGTTATTAATGTGACATACCTTTATCTGCACGGAGGGATGGTGTCCGCGAATATGAGCGAAGATGTTGGATGTAGCCTATTGCCTGCTTCTGCAGCCACTTTGCTTCCACATTTTTTTGCAAATTTGATCTGTCCTCAAGGACAACCCCGCGTTCGTTTTTTTTTTAAATATCCGAAGTATTCCCATACTGCAGATATTAACTTTTTTTTCGGCGGGGATGGAAATGAGATATTATCTCTCTGTCATTTTCTCCGCTGCACGTGCGTGTAACATTAAGCAGCCAAGTGAATGCAGAGTGAAGCAGCCGAGCGGAAATAAGTTGTATGTGCGTGATTGAGATTTTTTTTCATTCATTTTTTTTAAAAACCGTAGATATGCAAATGTTTACAGTATGATAACCGTGCACGTTCGACCCGTGATAAACCGTCATACCGGTATATCGTTACAACTCTAGTGTTCACTACTCACTGCTGTGTGTGTGCACTCTGATGGGTTAAATGCTGAGCACAAATTCCAAATAACCATAAGAGGGCAGTAGGTACGTACTATATTACCTTTGAGAAAACAGCAGCTCTCCCATTCACTGATTTATCTTGAAGGTGTATTCAAGACACAGTCATGTGACACAGGCTGAGGGATATTTTTATTTTCACACTATTGGTATGCATTTAATATACCTGCATTTTCAATTGTTTGCATCGTTTTACATTTAATATTCTAAAACCTTTACAGAATGAAGATCAGAGGATATGGTTGATCAACCAGACAAACATGTGACTGAAACTGAAGAAGATCAGTAATATATAAAACAGATTCAGAACTTTAAAGTAACTTTAAATTAGTTATCAAACAAAATTAAATGAACTAAAATAATACAGCATATAAATGAAAGTGAAAATTCAGAGGATGAAGTTCCTGTGTGTGTTAATGACTGATCTGCAGTGACTTGCAGCTCAGAGCACTGAGAGCCTCAACAGAGAACTGAGCTGATCTGATTGAACATGGACAGATGCTTCATACTGATTCTCATTGTAGGAACAGGCACACTGTTATATAATTACATTGTTTTTTTAAAATAATTATATACAAATAATTTTAAAACATCAAACCACAAATGTACTAATTTTTTATGTTTCTGTAAAAGTGCTGTGGAAGATATTTGTGAAACTGAAGAAGATCAGTAATATATAAAACAGATTCAGAACTTTAAGTTTTATTCGGGTACTTTGAACAGTCAAAAATGGTGGGAAAATTAGTTATCAAACAAAATTAAATGAACTAAAATAATACAGCATATAAATGAAAGTGAAAATTCAGAGGATGAAGTTCCTGTGTGTGTTAATGACTGATCTGCAGTGACTTGCAGCTCAGAGCACTGAGAGCCTCAACAGAGAACTGAGCTGATCTGATTGAACATGGACAGATGCTTCATACTGATTCTCATTGTAGGAACAGGCACACTGTTATATAATTACATTGATTTTTTTAAATAATTATATACAAATAATTTTAAAACATCAAACCACAAATGTACTAATTTTTATGTTTCTGTAAAAGTGCTGTGGAAGATATTTGACATAGTACTTTGTCAGCCTTGCTTTCACAAATCAAAAATCAGTTTATTTGTGCTTATTGTTGACAGGTTTGGTGGCTGGAGACAGCATTGAGCCAGATAAATGGTTTTTTTAAAATAATTATATACAAATAATTTTAAAACATCAAACCACAAATGTACTAATTTTTTATGTTTCTGTAAAAGTGCTGTGGAAGATATTTGACATAGTACTTTGTCAGCCTTGCTTTCACAAATCAAAAATCAGTTTATTTGTGCTTATTGTTGACAGGTTTGGTGGCTGGAGACAGCATTGAGCCAGATAAATGGACAGAAAAAAACTCTCAAGAAGGAGAAACTATCAAGCTGAGCTGCTCACATAGACCTAGTACAAGTAGTGATTATGTTTATCTTTAATGGTACAGACAGTATCACAACAGAGATCCACAGTTCTTATTATACAAAAATGTACGGTCGGCGAGTGATGCAGACAGCTCTGATCCTCGGTTTCAGTCGACTGCATCACGTACATCCACTGAACTCACTATTACTGATGTACATCTGTCAGATTCAGCTCTCTATTATTGTGCTCTAAGAGTAGGAGCCCAGTGATACAAAACATGAAGAATGTCATACAAAAACCTGAATCTCTTTTCACTTATATTATATATCACAATCACAACCACTGTCTATCCAGCCCTGAATATAATACATATGTAATAACACCTATGTTGAGGCCTGTCATAAAACTTTAAGACACTTGTGTGGTTAATTTTATACACATAGTCTTAAAGCACCTTAATTAGTTGGAATTTAAAAAAATGAAAATTCATTTTAATATGAAAAAATATTACGATAAAATATGAGCACAAACAAGTACTTGTTCCTTTATCCACTACAACAAAATTTGAAATAAACTATGATGAACGTTGTGCTGGATTTGTTTTGCATTTTCATGTATTTTTTTTGGTCATGAACCTGGATTTCAGACGTTTCTGGATGTGCCAGAGGGAGGAGACAAAGGAACCTCTTCAAACAAACTCTGTAGTGTAGATCAAGTGCTCTTGCTCACTAGAGTATATACACTTACTCTATCACAGACTAGATCAGAGGTGAGAATAAGATCTGGATTTAGACTAGACTTAATTTTTAAAGCAAGAAAGATGACAGACTGGATAAAACAAACTATCATTGTTTTCATATATGTCTGGGGTAAGTAACATTTTTGTAATTCTTTTTAATATTCTTAAATACTCTTTGCAATATATAAAATCATTTTGAATGTTTATGATATTTCTTTGCTGATCTTCTTCATGATTTGGTTCTGCAGGAATAGAATCACAGGACAGCGTTGAGCAGAAAACAAGAGTTCAGACTGCTTATGAAGGTGGAACTGTAATAATCAACTGTACATATCAAACTTCGTACTCCCCGACTCTCTTTTGGTATCAGCAAAAAGTAAACAGAGTCCCTAAATATATGCTGAACAGAGTTGGTAAGACTGGAGATGAAGACAAAGAGTTCAAAGACAGATTTAATGCACATATCGACACATCTTCAAAATCAGTTCCACTGACAATCCAGAATCTTCGAGTGTCTGACTCTGCTGTGTACTACTGTGCTCTGAGGCCCACAGTGACTGAAACACACTCAACACTCATACAAGAACCTTCATCATTCAGTCAGTTCTGACGGTTGTAGCTTTTTCTAAATGTAAATGAATGGATTATTTCATCTTAACTGGTTGCTCAATCATCCACTTTTTATTTGTTGTTATTTTTGAATTATTTCTCTGTTTCTTTATACTGGAGATGTCAAACTCTAACTTTTAAAATGTGGTTAGAATGTTATTATTGACAAGTGATATTTAATCTACCACAGAAATGAAGTTGTTAGCTTAAGCATAAAAAACATTCTGACTTTTAAGAATAAAAACTGACTGATCTGCTGCTGAGGAAACTTTAAGACAGATATAAATATATTGTCATTATGCAGCTATAGGGACCCAGTAGAGGGAGCTCATTATCATTTGCTGATATGTGGATGCTGAGATCTCACTCGGGAACAAATCTCTCTCACAACAAAGTATTCTTATTGTGTTATTTATTATAAGTGCAACCAAACTTAAGAACTAAAAGACATAACTAAAGAATGTCCCAGCCATTTTTTAGTCATTCAGAGTCTTAAACTGTGTAAACAGCATTTATGGTAAACAGAATTCAGTAGTAAACAGACAGCTAAATGACTGCTTATATACAGTTGTGTGATGATT